TACGTGGTCAAAAACATATTTCCTTGTGCCGATTCCGCAATTTGCTGATACGGACTTTCGAGGACCGTTATCATGACTACCCCTACTATCGTTGAAGGAGTTCCCACGAGTGCAACTTTGTCGGCCTCTCCTTACCACGGCCATAGTAAAGCAAGAAATCGTGCTGCTCTTAGACTTAAACAGATGGTTCGTTTTTGATAGTAAGAAAATCAATGTCTCTACGATTCGTTCATTCGTTTCAGTGATAAAATTATTATTAGCATGTTCCGAGGAGTAAGCCCATCACCAACTTATTTCTAAGTAACCGCGGAAGAAGAAAACATCAACAGCTAAAGATTGCGTTTGACACGTGCTACCAATTCGAATATTTCTGGAAGCACTGTTATCCACTTCGGAGATTTCTAGAGGCAAAGTTTGAAAGTGAAGGACGTTTTGTTTTTAACTTAATTTTTCCAAACAATTAACTATCTATGTTTCAGAATGCCGCTGTGATTCAGGTGCGATTGCAACCGATTACGGTATCCTGAAAGATAGCCACGTTCCGGTTAAATATATTTATTCACTGAATGACCCAACGGATCACAAAGGCCACATTACTCTCGGTCCACTAGTTTGCTCTGGCAGTGGTTCGTCAGTTGTTTTTCTTGATGGCTGAAAATTTTTTGCCACTGACTAAAATGTACAGAAAGTTCGCTTTTTTTCACTTTTATTCAAAAAAAACTTTCCAAAAGTTCTGAACTTCGGTTTGGTTTTTGAAAGAAGCGACCTAGTGGATAAGCTCTTGGCAGATTTCTACCAATTTTGGTCACTTTAAAGTGCTTTCGTCTCTGATAAAAAATGAATTTCGGAGAGGATTTTGATTTTGGATTGAATTCTTGAAAATTAATTTTAGCTGGCCGCTCGCGTGGTTATACGATGAGCATTCGAAATCGTCGCAGTGCGGTATCGGTTGGTGCTTGGAAAGGTCATTCTCTGAGCTTCGAATTTCGAACTTATCTAGAAAATGCCACAATTGTGACCTCGAATGATGGAAAACTGGGGATATCGATGCTCAATCGATCACTGCACCTGATTTTTGACAATCAAGTGAATCTCACGCTCATCCCTCAATCAAGGTTCCATTTAATGTAATTTAGAATTAAAAAAA